AAATTGTAAAAGGATGTTGCATATGGTCTGAACAGATGTATATTAAGGGGGAGTGTTGAACTATTAATATGCACTGTCAGATGAACTGTCAGATCTGCAGGATCTGAGTGACAGCAGTGAGACTGCTGGAAGCCTGTCTTGGCCGGTTTAGACCGGTTTATGGTGTGAGGCCACAGGTATGACTCAGCTTAATGCTGATTGGTTGTAAATATGTATATAAGTGGACAAGTGCAGTCCAAACTATTCCTTTTGGGAATCGCGGTGTTTGGCGAAGCACTTTGCAGGAGCGTTGTATATTCTGTGAATAAACTGTATATAGTTCACCACAAAGAACTGTGTTGCGTGGTACTATATGCTGGATGTGCTGGTGACTGCTGGAGAGTGGCTGGAATGGGGGGGGGGGTTCCGCCCCTGCACCTTGTATGAAAAGTCATGCAGATAGTCATTCAATGTCCTTTTCTCCTATTTGGCTTCACTCTGCTTTTAAACATTTTTTTTTTCTTTTTGGCCGTCAAGCCGCAGCCAATTTATGGCGACCCTATAGGGTTTTCAAGGCAAGAGACATTCGGAGGTGGTTTGCTGTCGCCTGCCTCTGCGTAGCACCCCTGGAAATCCTTGGGAAACTGAGGATTTCTGTCATCGGACCTAGGAGGCTTGTGTTTCAAAAGAACTGCTCAGAGGTGACCATTTTGGGTCCGAATGCTTCCTTCTCCCTCCTCCTTGGAACAGAAGTGTACTTCAGGAGGAGGGGGGGAACATATTCTCCACCACCACCCCAAACCCCACAACAGACCTTGCCTTCCTGTTGTACACCTCTGCCCCATAATTAAAATTCTGTGCTCTTAAAGAGTCTAGATCTGGCCTTTGTCAGAATTTTGAGTGGGTGCCATTTTATTTGATTGCCGTCAAGTCACAGCCGATTTCTGGCAACCCTGTAGGGCTTTCAATGAAAGCTTCCTGTCGCCTGCCTCTGCACAGCACCCCTGGCCTTCCTAGGTGGTCTCCCGTCCATGTATTAGTCCATGTATGGCTGTGAGAGTTGGACTATAAGGAAGGCCGAGCGCCGAAGAATAGATTCTTTTGAACTATGGTGCTGGAGAAGACTCCTGAGAGTCCCTTGGACTGCAAGAAGATCAAATCAGTCAATCCTAAAAGAAATCAACCCTGACTGTTCCCTGGAAGGAGCTCAAATACTTTGGCCACCCAATGAAAAGGGAGCACTCACTGGGGAAGACCCTGATGCTGGGAAAGATTGAAGGTTAAGAAGACGGGGACGGCAAAGGATGAGATGGTGAGACAATGTCACAGATGCAATGAACATGAAGTTGAGCCAACTTCAGAGGACGGCGGAAGACAGGAGGGCCTGGCGTGATCTGGACCATGGGGTCGCGAAGAGTCGGACTCGACTGTGCGACTGAACAACAACAACCCTGCTTAGCGTCTGAGATGTGACCAGATCAGGGGAGCTTGGGCTATCCAACATGTTAAAAGCCATCCTGTGTTTTTAGGCACGTAGAGAACAAGAAATCCTCACTAAATCCAGGTTCATCTCCCTCTGAGGCTTCCCAGTTGGCTATCCCCACGAATGGACTTGGATTAACCTGGGTGGCCCAGGATAGCCTGAACTTGTCAGGTTTCAGAAGCTAAGCAGGGTCGGTCCTGGTTAGTATTTGGATGGGAGACCACCAAGGAAGTCCTGGGTCAGTGCACAGAGGCAGGCAATGGCAAATAATCTCTGAACATCCCTTGCCTTGAAAACCGTACAGGGGTGTCCTGATTCGACTGGGACTTGGTGGCACTTTTGACAAGCACGCCGTATTGAACGATAAGGACAGGAAACTATTTTTGTCCCGTTAAAGAGGAGGTCACATGCTGCACTCTGTGGAACTGCAAACACACAGCCCAAACGTATAAGAACCTAGCTGTGTTTTGTTCGTTTGTGCATACTTGACCATGTATTTTCTCTCCCTGCACACTTCCTTCCTATCCCTCCATTCCTCCACAAAACTCAGGGTTGGGTCTACTGTTTGGTGCCGTGCTTAAGTGCGCGGACTCTAATCTGGGAGAACCGGGTTTGATTCCCTGCTCCTCCACTTGCACCTGCTGGATGACCTTGGGCAAGCCATAGTTCTCTCAGAGCTGTTCTCTCACGAGCCGTCCTCAAAAGAGCTCTCTCAGCCCTGCCTACCTCACAGGGTGTCTGTTGTGGGGAGGGGAAGGGAAAGGAGATTGTAAACCGCTCTGAGTGAAGGGCAGGGTATAGATCCAATCTCTCCTTCTCCCCCCTTCCATTCCACCCTCACGACACTCCTGTGCTGTAGGTTAGGCCAAGAGAGAAAGAAAGAGTGACTGGCCCAGGGTCACTCACTGCTCAGCTTCCTGGCAGAGTGGGGATTTGAACCCAGGGCTCTCCATTCTCATTCTCTTTGGACTGGCTTACCATAGCTAACACTTTCTCTCTCTCTCTCTCTCCCTTGCCAGAGGCCATCACTGCTTACCTAGACAAGAAGAAGCTGCCCCTCAGCCTAGTTGGGGCCTCTTACGAGGGAGTGTCTGTCAACGACTGTATCTTCAGTGCCCGGAAGGCCGTGGCCAAACTTCTCGGCGAACCATCCTGAGAGGCGGGGAATCCTCTTTTCCTCAGCTTTGGGACTCCTGTGCCAAATCTCGTTCAGCTGCCACCAGGTTGGCTGCTGTGAGACAAACTTCCCAGTACAGGGAAATTGAGGATTTCTGTCATCGGACTTGGGAGGCTCATATTTCAAAAGAACTGTTCAGAGGTGAACATTTTGGGTCCGAATGCTGCTTCTCCCTCTTCCTTGCAACAGAAGTGTACTTAAGGCAGAGAGAGGAACATGGTCTCCACCACCCCGAAAACCCACAGCAGACCTGGCCTCCTTGTTGTACGTCTCTGTCCCATAATTAAAATTCTATTCTGTTCAATGGAGAGGAGTCCAGATCTGGACTTTGTCAGAATTTTGCATGGGCGCCATTTTATTTTATTTTACTGCCGTCAAGTCATAGCTTATTTCTGGCAACCCCGTAGGGTTTTCAAGGCAAGAGACGTTAAGAGGTGGTCTTGCCACTGTGCCTCTGCGACATGGCCCTTCCAAATGCTAGCCAGGGTTGACCGTGCTTGGGTTCCGAGCTCTGACAAGATCGGGCCAGCCTGGGCTATCCAACATATAGAAAGCTATCTGGTGCAAGGAAGAGGCCTGGATAGCTGAATTGCCAGATACTGCCACGGTGCCAGATCTGACCGATGCTCTTTCTAGTCCAGCATCCTGTTTTACACAGTGGCTCACGGGGGGGGGGGGGGTTTCCTGTAAATAGAGATTAAATTAGCATGCAAAACAGTGAATTATCTGTTAAATTATCAGTTAAAAAACATCTTCACTGTTATGGAAAACTGAATTATCTGTTAAATTATCAGTTAAAAACATCTTCACTATTTTGCATGCTAATTTAACAAGCTATCTATCGATCTAGATACACAGGGCTATTTTTGGGCAGGAACGCACAGGAACGGAGTTCCGGCTGGCTCCTGAGTTGGCCACGCCCAGCAGGAACTCATTAGGATAATAGGCCACACCCAACAGCAGAAATTCATTAGGATTGGCTACATTAGGGGTGTGTGGCCTAACATGCAAAGGAGTTCCTGCTCCAAAAAAAAGGCCCTGGGTTTTGACAACAAACAAGGTAAACAGAATAAGAAGCAAAAGGTGGGTGTGGCTGGATGACCACACTTCTGGTAACATGGGGGTGCGGCCTAATGTGCTAATGAGCTGTGTTGTCAGGGGTGTGGCGTAATATGCTTATGAGTTCCTGCTGTTGGGTATGGCCTATTATGCTAATGAGTTCCTGTTGGACTTTTTCTACAAAAAGAGCCCTGTAAGTGTATTGGTGTGTATGTGTATATATACACACACACACACACAAACTATGATCTGTAATTCCATTTCATTGTCTGACAAAGTGTGCTTGCACATGAAAGCTCACACCTTGAGTAAAACTTTGTTGGTCTTAAAGGTGCCCCTGGACTCGAACTTTGTTCTAAGGTTTTGGGGGTATAAGTGTTTGAGAGTCAAAGCTCCCTTTTAGCTGAGAGACATCCAACAAACCTTTGTGGAAAACTCCCCCCCCTCCCCTCTGACAACTGCACCACTCTATTTCTCAGCATTATGGCCTCTTCCCGTGAAGGCAAGTTTAACAGTTTAGCAAAGGTGACAGTGTTCAAAACAGTGGCTTTTAACTGATCGAGAAGAAGCCCAATAAGGTCAGGCTTGGTTCTGTCAGGTAGATGTTTCCAGGAAGTCGACAGACAAGGAGACCTCCCTTGCTGGTTTTCTCCCCCACCCAGCAACTTATATCCAGAGGCAGACTGCCTCTGAACATGGAGGTTTGATTTTACCAGGATGGATGATAGCTGGACTTTCCCCATTACATCTGTCTTCCGCCCCGTTTAAAGCCAGCACATCTTGTAGCAGTGAGTTCCATAAGATATGTAGGTTTGCCAGCTTTGTATTGGGAAATACCTGGAGATGGGGGGGTGGAGCCTCAGCAGGGTACAATGCTATAGAGTCCACCCCCCAAAGCAGCCATGTTCTCCGTGGGAACTGATTTTGATAGTCTGGAGATCAATTGTAAAAGCAGGAGATCTCCAGGTGCCATGGTGGAATTGGCCACCCTTCCACCCGGAGATTGGCAACCCCGTTAAATTAAGCACTGTGTTGGAAGAAAATGGTTTTATCTGTGGATGTGCTACCCACTTCGGTGGGCGGCCTCCTATTTCTTGAATTATGGGAAGGGGAACTCTGCTTGTTATAGTTCTACAGACCTGTCTTATTGCTTAGCCAACTTTTTCCTAAACTGAAAAAACCCAAATGTTTTATCCAGTTTGGTGTAGTGGTTAAGTGTGCGGACTAATCTGGGAGAACCGGGTTTGATTCCCCACTCCTCCACTTGCACTTGCTGATGTGACCTTGGGTCAGTCACAAGCTCTGGCACAGCTGTCCTTGAAAAAGAGCCGTTTGGGTCAGAGTTCTCTCAGTCCCACCCACCTCACGGGGTGTCTGTTGTGGGGAGGGGAAGGAGTTTGTAAGCTGCTCTGAGACACCTTTGGGTAGTGAAGGGCGGGGTATAAATCCAATCTCTTCTCTTCTTTTTCTTTCCTCATTGGAAAAGCATTTCAACAGATACAACCAGCTCTCACCAGACATCGGGGCAGACAGTCTGTACCTTTAAACACAGGCAGAAATGCAACAGGTGATGTCTATCCCATGATCTCCAAAAGTGAGGAAAAGCTAGGCCTGTGTTTTTGCCCGTTTCTCAGCTGAGGAAAGGACCCTGCAGGCACATCCCGGGCTGCCCGTCATTTAACTGGGCTCGATTTCCGGCATTAGCTATCATCACATACAAAGCCCTTCATGGCCTTCGACCCTCATATCTGCGAGACCTCCTCTCGCCCTGTGCACTGCCACCACAACAGCTTCGCTCATCTGAGCTGGGTCCTCTGCAGGTGCCAACCTGCAAATGGGCACAATCAACATCTGCCCGTTTTGTGAACTTAGGCAGATCACCAGAGGGAGGGCAGGAAGGGTTGTCTCAGTGCTTAGTTCTCGTGGCCCTTTCTTACACGCCCAGGGAAATGCCGATCACCACGTTGGGATCCAGAACAAACTGTTCTCCAGGCCAGTTTATTCAGGGATCCTGGAGGGTTTTGTTGTTGTTTTTGTCATCTGGGCATGGAACAGCGATGACGGGCGGTGTTCCCTCTAAGCTGAGTTAGTGTGAGCTAGCTCACAGTTTTTTAGCCTCCAGCTCACACCTTTGTCTTCGCTCAGGAAGGAATGTTCCAGAGCAAACTAATTTATGCAGTATCCCAATCGCTCGCTCACACCTTTAATGCCGGTAGCTCACAAGAGTAGAATCCAAGTGAGAAAGGTGGACTACAAATCAAAGTCAATAAATGAACCTCAGCAGCAGGAAAGCAACAGGAAGCGACATGCTGGCCGTACGCAGAAGACCCGCCCGGCCTCTGTTCGGTGGGCAGTTTTTATTTCATTAAAAAAAAAAAAAGACAATTATCAAAAACAGAGTCGGGAGGGGTAGGAACAGTTCAAGGCAGGCGCAACTGCGGGAAGGGAGCGACTTCATAAATAGAATAAGTTATACACCATCGGCAACAGCTAGAGATCGTGATATGCACACCCCAAGCAAGGAAAAACAAAGGGAGGTTGGCTGAAGGGGGGGGGAGAATACAGATCTGTTCTACAAACCGCTCAAGGGGAAGGGGGGGGGGGAAACAGAACATCTTTCCCTTAAGAGAGGAGTAGTTCTCTAGCTTCCATCATCTAGCGCCAGAGGTCTTTTCCAAGACAGAAGTGCCCCCTACAGGCCTTGGAATATGGAGAGAAGCTAGACTCTACAGCATAAAGTGCCCAGATTTGGGAAAGTGGGTAGTGTCCTACAGCCCGGAGCTTTTTGGAAGATAAATAAAAAAAGAACCTTCGAGGCGCACCCGTTCAGCCAGACTTCGATCCCTCGTGCAAGGGTTTTTCACGCGGCCGCTTTGTAGCACCAAGCCGGGGCCGGAAACTCGAAGCAGGTAAAAGGGGGGGGGGCGCCTGCAGGGTCTGGAACGACAGCTGCCAGGTCTAGGCCTCAAGGCTCCGTTTAAACACGAGGCAAAAACACACAGGCCTTTGCGCTCACGTCACATCTCGTCCGTATGGGTCATGGCCCCCTTTCAACGGGACGCAGCGCGAGCGCAGAATCCCGTGACTGAGTCCTCTTTTGCTATGGCCAGCGTTGCTTTTAACCGGGGCTCGGTCACGGCGCAGGAGGCATTAACCACATTCTCAGAGGCAGCCCTAATTTCACTGTGGGGAACCTCTCTGGGCCAGGTTCCCCTTCTTGTGAACCGTCCGGTCATGCCCGTACGAGAGAAACAGGAAGGGGGCTACAGGACAGAAGCAGAAAGGAGAGGAGATCAACCGCTGCTCCGAACCATGACCCAAGAAAGTAACTATAAACACCAGCGCCCACCAGACGGGACCCTGGGGAAAGGAAGCAAACACCCCATTTCTGCTTCCCCGCTCCAGAAATGTCATCCCAGCAGCACCGGGCTGCAAAACAAGGTCTGAAGCTTCTTTCTTCCCCTTTGGAACAGGAAGCTGGCAAGGCGGACAGTCTAGGACTGTCCGAGCAGCTCGCTGTCTTCTCCGGGAATGGCACCGATCGGAAGTCGAGTTCTGCCCCCTTTTGCTAGCGTGGGACCGGCCATTGTCTGGGGATGGGGCAGGCCACTCCATTCACAGAATAAGCTGCCTTTTCATCCTGCCTGGCCAGCCCGCTCCCTGCTCGCCCCCCACCCTTTCAAGTCAACTTGATTATCTGTAACAGTGTAGAAAGTCCCACCAATGCCCGGCAAAGGGATATGACCTTCCCCCAAGCAAGGGGGTGGCCCACAGTGGCTAGGGCCCCGCTAGAGCACAAGGAAGGTAGAGCCACCATTACGTGGCTGGGTCTCTCCCCCCCCTCCCCCACCTTGGGTAGGACAGGACACCCCAGGGAGTCGCGTGGCTCTACGGCCTGGTGGCGAGAGCCTTCATGATGGAACTTGGGTGGTCTCCCCCCCCAATCTCTTGTCAAACTGGGGTTCACCAGACCCTCAGTACCCAGCCTGCCTAACTGGCAGACGAGGGGAGGGTATCCCGAAGACCTCTGGGACACAGCACGAGTGCAATTCCAATTATTGGTTCTAGACACCGAGGAAATGGCCGGCAACTGCCGGACCCAGGGCCTGGACGGGGGTTTCTAGGTGCCAACCAGCATACGCCTGTCCCTTCCTAGTCAGCATTTTGCAGGCCGGTACGATTGTTCGACGACTTCTGGAGCCTGGAGTCAAATGTTTTTGTGGAGTCCGTTTTTGCCCTGTCGGCTCCCAGGAGCCGATCCTCTCTCCCAGCATCCTCTGCTCCTCGCTCTGGAGCCTCCAGGCTGGGCGCGGATGTTTGTAAGACTGGGCGCCGGAAGCTGTTGCTGGTCGTGTTCTGGGAGACGGTACCCTCCTTCTCTGTCGCCAGACTCGTTCTGGGTTTCTCCGCTTTTGAACCCGGCCGTTCCTTCTTCCCCGCCTGCGTTGTGCCAAAAGGGGCTTCCCCCCAGCCCATGGCCTGGGAGAGTTTGGCAAAGGGGGTCTTCCGCAACATCTCCTGCCGGAAGTTGTGGTTGCTGCCGGTCGGATAGTTCCTCCCGCCCACGTTGGGCAAGGAGCCTTTGTTGGCCCTGGGGTTGGTACCGATGTCAGCTGTGATGTTAGTGTAAAGGGGCAGGAGTTCCTTGGACAGGAGCCTATAGGAGAGGGAATTCATGCCGTCCTGCGTCCAGGCCCGGTACGTCCTGATCAGCAGATCAAACCTGCAAAAGGGGCAGGAAGAAAGGTCATTTATACAATCTGAGAGCAAAAAGCCCTCCATCGATAGGAACGCTCTGAGACCTCATACGTTCGAGGACCAATCATGTGGTACAGAATGAAGCCTCAAGACATGGGCTGTGGCTCAGTGGAAGAGCCTCTGCTTTAAGAACATCAGAAGAGCCCTGCTGGATCAGGATCAACAGTCCATCTAGTCGAGCATCCTGTCTCACGCAGTCGCCAACCTCTGGACAGCCAACAACAGGGCATAGAGGGCGAGGCCTTCCTCTGATGTTGCATCCTGGTTCTAGGATTCAGAGGTTTAGTGCCTTTAAATGTGGAGGTTCCCTTTAGTCATCACGGCTAGCAGCCATCGATAGACTTATCCTCCATGAATCTATCTAATCCCCCTTTAAAAGCAATTTATTCCTGTGGCTATCACTGCGTCCTCTGGCATTTTAATCACTCTGTGTAAAGTGGTATTTCCTTTTGTCTGTCCTGAACCTACTGCCCATCTGCTTCGTTGGATGCCCTCGAGTTCTAGTATTTTGGGAGAGGGAGGGAAATTTTTATAAACCTTCATCACGTTCCCCCCTTAGTCTTCTAAACTGAAAAGTCCCAGCCTCTTCAGCCTTTCCTCACAGGGAAGGTGCTCCAACCCCCCTAACTATCTTGGTCGCACCTCCTCTGTACTTTTTCCAATTCTGCAATGCCCTTTTTGAGATACGGTGACCAGAACGCTACACAGTATTCTAAGTGAGGCCGCACCATAGATCTATACAGGGGCATTACAATATCCGCTGTTTTACTCTCAAACCCTTTCCTAATGACCCCTAACACGGAGTTTGCCCTTTTCACCGCTGCAACACCCTGGGTTGACACTTTCATTGAGCTATCCACTACGACCCCAAGATCTTTTTCCTTTTCAGTCTCAGCAAATTCAGATCCCATTTGCCTATACTCGATGTTGGGATTTTTTCCCCTCCCAACGAGCATCACTTGGAATTCACTGCCACAGGAAGTGGTGGCGGCTACAAGCATGGACGGCTTCAAAAGGGAATTAGACAAGCATATGGAGCAGAGGTCCATCAGTGGCTATTAGCCACAAGGTATAGATAGGGGCTCTGGGGCAAGTGAGGCTCTGTCTTCTTGGTGCTTGGGGGGGGTCAACAGTGGGAGGGCTTCTAATGTCCTGGCCCCACTGGTGGACCTCCTGATGGCACCTGGTATTTCTGGCCACTGTGTGACACAGAGTGTTGGACTGGATGGGCGTTTGGCCTGATCCAACATTGGCGTCTTTTATGTTCTTATGCCACCGGCCAGGGGAGACCTGGCAACCTTGCTGGAGACCAGTTGTAATTCTGGGAGAGAGGAAGAAGAGGAGATTGGATTCATACCCTGCCCTTCTCTCGGAGTCTCAGAGCGGCTTACCGACGCCTTTCCCTTCCCCTCCTCGCAACAGACGCCTTGTGAGGTAGGTGGGCCTGAGAGAGCTCTCTCTCGAGGACTGCTCCTGAGGGAACAGCTCCGAGAGAACTTGTGACTGACCCAAGGTCACACCAGCAGCTGCGTGGGGACGCGTGGGGAATCAAACCCGGTCCTCCCAGATTAGAGCCCGCGCTCCCAACCACTACACCAAACTGGCTCTCCGGCCACCACCTGGAGTCTGGCAACCCTGATTGATGTGAGGTGTTGAGGAAAGCCCAAACTCCAGAGTCGGTTTCCCCGATCCTCCCTGGGCCCAAGGGAGCGGCAGAGCACCTGTGGGGATTCTCCTCGTTCCCCTTGTCGCCTTTATGCTTCACCATCTTGTAGTGGCCGACGGAGACGGGAGGCCGCGCGATCTTCATGCCGGCCAGACGCACCCTGGAGATGCAGAAGGGAAGAAAAGAGGGCCTCAGGATCTCTGGAGGAAGACCACGGGCACCTCCGAAGGTTCCCACCTCAGGCAGCCACCTCCCCCTGGGAGAAGGAAGGCCGCCAAACAGGCCCTTTGGTAAAGTCTCCAACTCGTTGCACATCCAGCCACTCCTGAGCGGGCGACCTCTGGAAAAGCCGCACGGAGCAGCCGTTCCCAGGAGCGCCCACACACGCTTGGAAAGCTAACACACCCCATTCCCCCTCTCTCTTTTGTCTTTGCTGAAGGTTAGAAACTGTGAACTGTTTCCCCCCCTACACACACAGCAGGAGACGAGCAGTCACCATGGCAACCCACACATCGCGCCGGCTTTGCTAAGAGACACAGCCGGGGAGCCCAACTGTTCCCTGGACCTGGCCCAACACCCATTTCCATGTGTTCACCCAACTCTCCTTCCCCCCCTCCCCCTCCATGGTCTCGCTTATGGGCCGTTGGGAAACTCCTGCATTCTTTATGCGTCATTCGAAGAATGGACATACCTCAACTGGCCTGCGTCATAGAGAAGACACCCGCTGCCCAGCATGTGGGGACCAGGCGGAATCTGGGGGCACTGGACTCCTCTCTCACGGCCAGGAAATGAAGCGGCCATCTTATCACCGTCTTTCTGGCCTCATACCGACCAGACAAAGCTGGACACCCTCCCACACACACACCAGAACTCACAATGACTGGATCACAGACCCATTCCAATCGCCTCTGGATAGTTTAGGCCGGAGGTCCCCAACCTTTTTGAGTATGTGGACACCAGGGTTACCACTGGCAGGGGATGGGGGGGGAGACGTACTAGAAGTGGGGGGGGGTAGGTCCAGCTGACACTGCAGAGACTTGTCTACGTCACTTCTGACATGACTCGGAAGTTATATAATCACAGCGATGTCGGGGCAACACTGGTATCTGGGCAAAAACTCTATGGTAAATTTGGCTTTGACCACAGAGTTTTTGCCCAAATACCAGAGCGTCACCCTAGCGTCACCGACATGATGCCATCACTTCCGGGTCACATTGGAAGTGACTCAGACACATAGCTGTAAGGTCAACTGGGCCTTGCTCTTTTTCTTTTTCTTGTTGTGAAGTCACAATGACTTCTGGCGACCCCAAGTGGGGCATGGACGTTTCGGAGAGGTGGCTTGCTATTGCCTGCCTCTGCGTCCTGGTCCTGGTATTCCTTGGAGGCAGAGGTCATTTCGAGGTCAATTCGGGGGAATCGCGGGGGAACACAGTTCCCCCGGGTGAGGTGCGGGGGGCGGGGAACATGACGAAGCCCCGCCCCCCGCTTCCGACCGCCCCGCTTCCAGCCCTCATTCAGCCAGGAGGAGGCAGGAGAAGAGGGAGGGTAAGTTGCTTCCTCCCCGCCTCTCCCCACCCCTGCCTGCCTGGGGCCAGGGAGGGCCTTGGCGGGGCTTCCTCGCACTCCCGCTGGCCTTGCAGGTCCACCGCCGGGCCCCTGATGTCAGGGTGTGTGGCATATGCTAATGAGTTATGCTGAGTTCCCCTAGCTCTTTTTCTACGAAACGACCCCTGCTTGGAGGTCACCCTTTCAAGCACTTGCCAGGGTCGGCCCTCCTTAGCTTCCAAGATCTGATGGGATCTGGCTTGCCTGGGCTATCCAGGTCAGGGCGCTCTTTTTCTGGTAAGTCTCCCCTGCCAGCCAGCTGATTGGCAGCGGGGAGGTGGGGCCTGGTGACGGGGGACCTCCACCAAGGGGTCTAGCAACCTTAGTGGACACATTTGGAATTCGGACACAAGGTGGGTGGCCCCAACCGCAGAATGACTGCCATGGAAGGCAGAGCCAATCACATAATGGCTGCCATGGAAGCCCACGTCCAAGGGGCAAGAGGAGGAATTTAAAAATAAATACACCGTGAAAGAGAGTAAAACCAACACTGTAGGGGTAGCCGCCACCAAAATAACATTAATTTGCAATCTGGTCTCCAATAGCCAATCAGAAGCCCTGCTGGGCAGGAGTCCCACGTGGCCCCGCCCACTTTCCAAAACACTTGGCCGGCAACAGGGAAGATGTCAGTGGATGCCATGGTGCCCATGGGCACCATGTTGGGAACTTCTGGTTTGGGCCCTGAATTCTACCAAGTTCCCTTTCCCTAGGCAGTATTTCTTCTGCTGGCCTACTTCTAATTCCCCTGAATTCTGGCCACACTGCTTGAGAATCAATATGTAGACTTCCAAGTACTGTTCAGACCCCCGGTTAAGAACCTCTTGCCAGGCTCCATCCTCTGTGCCCCCAGCTGTAGAGGGGAGGTGGGTAGAAATAGGGCTTTTTCAGTGGTGGCCCCTTGCCTTTGGAATGCTCTTCCCCCTCAGGGCTAGCCTGGTTCTGAGCTCACCTTCTTTTAGACACCAGCCCAAAACATTCTTTTTAACCAGGCTTTTAACTGAAGAGTTCAGTCTTTTTTTTTCCCCCAGCTGTTTTATCATCTGCTTTTAGCTGTTCTGTGAATATTGTTTTTAGCCTGCTTGTTTTAACGCCCTGGTTTGTTTTCTTTTGTTTCATTTTAGTCGAGAGCTGCTTTGAGCTGGTCTCTGGAGAGGCAGCATCTACGTTTTCTGAATAAATAAGTCTCCAGAGAACAGAACTCATCTTCTCCGCTGCCAAGACCTTCTGTCTTCCCTCGCCACAGGTGTGCCAATCATCACCATCTCACAACGGGCCCTTTCCCCGCCCTCTCCCCAGTTAGAGCGCTTCGGAACATTCTGTGACCGTCGCAGAAGCTCCAGCCAATGGCAAGCCACGTTTCACCTGCATGCTAATAAAGGACCCCTGAGCTGAGCCCTGGTTGGCAGACTGGTGGACCATTTCACCTACCTGGATGCCGCAGCTTACCCGCAACCCTGTGCAGTGGAAATGAGCATGCAAAGGTCCAATAGTGAACGAGGTGGAATGGAGAGAAAAGAAAAGAGATGATGGAGATGAGAAAGCAGGCTTCACCCTAGTCGGAGAGCAGGAAGCGGAGGGTGGAATAAGCGATGCGCCAGAGCTTGCTAAGAGGAAGTCACCGCTCTAAAGACCTCCCACCGTGCTCGTGACAACCCCCACAAAGGTTAACCACCAGCCTTCCGCGTTCTCTTGCCTAATCTTCACTATAAACTGAACGTGTGGAATTGTGACATCCGCACAACGGCTGAAGAAGCCTACCCCGCCCCCCCCTCCCGTGTAATACTCAGTTTCTTGACATGACTTTTCATTTTTAAAAAAGACAAGTTTGTAGTCCTTATGGATGCAGGGATTTGTTTGGAAGTACAGTACATGGGCAATTGATGCCTCGGATTCTGGGCCGCAGAATCCCTGAGTAAAATTCTCAGGGCTTCAGGGCTGGAAACTTAAGAGAAGAGGAAGAGAAGGAGCAGGAAGAGAGGGAAGAGGAGGAGGAGATTGGATTTATACCCCGCCCTTCACTACCTAAAGAAGTCTCAGAGCAGCTTACAATCTCCTTTCCCTTCTCCTCCCTACAACAGACACCCTGTGAGGTAGGTGGGGCTGAGAGAGCTCTCTCGAGGACTGCCCTTGAGAGAACAGCTCTGAGAGAACTTGTGACTGACCCAAAGCCACACCAGCAGCTGCATGTCGAGGAGTGGGGAATCAAACCCCGTTCTCCCAGATTAGAGTCCGCGCTCTTAACCACTACACCAAAAAGCTCTGGATCCCACAGTATCAGATACCAAGAAAATATTTAAAAGACTCTTATTTTTACTTATATCCTGCCTTTCATCCTAATGGAGTCCCCAAAGTCACTTACATCCTTCTTCTCTCCTTTTTATCCTCCCAACAATCCTGTGTGGTAGGTTAGGCTGAGAGCGTGTGAACGGCCCAAGGTAACCCAGCAAGTTTCTAATGGCATGCATGGGGATTCGAACCTGACACTTTACCCACTACACAACGCTGTCTCTCTGAGGTGGAAGAAAGTGGAAGGAACACTCATGATGGAGAAAATGGAGCAGAGAAAGCCAGGAGGGATCGGGGGGGGGGGACGACAGAAAAACAAGAGACCTACCTTGTGGCGATGTCGTCGTCTTCCCCTCCCCAGCCCCAGTACTCGTTGGGGAAGCCATTGATCTTCAGATACTGATCGGGGGTGAGTGCTGACACTCCGCCAAAATACTGCGAGTATGGGAGGCTGGAGAGAAGAGGGGAGGGAGAGAGGAGGACAAGGTTACTGCCTGTTTCAGGCAGGCCAGGCACCCAAGAGGAGGAGTCCAAAGTCCACTTTTTATGGTCGAAATGGACAAAATTACAAGGAAACTTAAAAATCTGGAAGCAGAAGAATTTTCCAAAGATCGGAAAGATTTGAGAGACTATCGAGAAAAGTACTGGGATGTAAAGGACAATCTACTTTGCTTTGAAAATTATTGGAATATAAAGAATAATAGAACTGGATAAGTGTATAAGAATAACAATTGAAAAATGTGTTACCTGTAGAATTTGAATATTTACCAAAGGGAAGATATGTGAAAGATCTAAGAGATGGGCAGGAGGTTGGAGCACTGTGGGAAGCCATGAAAGGGTGGGGGTAAGAGGGAAAAGGATATATAACATAAACGTTGTTGTATGTTTGAATGTTTATTATATCCTAATAAATTGTTTTTGGGGGAAAAGAAAGGGGAAAAAAGGAGGAGTCCAAAGTCCAACAGCAGAACCCTTGCTGTGCATATAGAAGGCTCTGAGTTCGATACTAGATATCTCCTGTCCAAAGATCTCGGATAACAGGGGAAAGGTTTCTGTGCCAGAGCACCATGGACAGTCAGAATACATCATCCAGAGCTGTTACCGTCAGACTCTATACAAGGAAGAGGGAGACAAAGAGTTGGATTTATACCCTGCCCTTCACTCGGAGTCTCAGAGTGGCTTACAATCTCCTTTCCCTTCCTCTCCCCACAACAGACACCCTGTGAGGTAGGTGGGGCTGAGAGGGCTCTCTCGAGGACTGCTCCTGAGAGAACAGCTCTGAGAGAACTGTGGCTGACCCAAGGTCACCCAGCTGGCTTCATGTGAAGGAGCAGGGAATCAAACCTGGTTCTCCAGATTAGAGTCCGCCGCTCTTAACCACGACACCACACTGGCTCATGCAGAAGACCCCAAGTTTAAACTTGACCATATCCATAGAAAGGGATCTCAAATTAAAAAAGGCGTTATGAAGGACCTTCCTCTACTCAAGATTCTCGACAATACAAATTTTGCAGTTCCAGAATGCCCCCTTCTATTTATCTTTCTCTGTCCTCAAACATCATTCAATAAACCATGGAAGATGGAGCACTCTCTGTGTCAAGGTGAGAAGAAAAATGGTAGGCACAGTTCTCACCTTGACACAGAGAGAGTACTCCATCTTTCTGTGTTATACCTCTGAGGATGCCAGTCACAGCTGCTGGCGAAACGTCAGGTCCTACAACGCCAAGACCGTGGCTATACAGCCCGGAAAATCTACGACGACGAATGAACTCCAGCCGTGAAAGCCTTCGACAACATATTTTAAATTCACTTGTACGCTGCTTTGGGAGCGCATGCTGAAAAGTGGTATACAGATTTTGCAAACTAAATAAGAACATAAGAACATAAGAGATGCCAATGTTGGATCAGGCCAAAGGCCCATCCAGTCCAACACTCTGTATCACACAGTGGCCAGAAATACCAGGTGCCATCAGGAGGTCCACCAGTGGGGCCAGGACATTAGAAGCCCTCCCACTGTTGACCCCCCCAGGCACCAAGAAGACAGAGCATCACTTGCCCCAGAGCCCCTATCTATACCTTGTGGCTAATAGCCACTGATGGACCTCTGCTCCAATGCTTATCTAATTCCCTCTTGAAACCGTCCATGCTTGTAGCCGCCACCACTACTTCCTGTGGCAGTGAATTCCAAGTGTTGATCACTCTTTGGGTGATTTCTCCAGGAGCAACATCTTAAAGGGCCGTCTCTCTCAGTACAATCCCGTGCACCAACTTAAATCCTTGCCGCATCTTCTCCAGGCTGCTCCCTGCCCCCCCCCTTCCACAAGACCACGAGTTCAGGAGTAGCTCAGTGACGAGCATTTCTGGCAGTGGTGCAGTCCCAGGGGAACAGCTGCCCGGAGAACAGTGCTCACCTTTGCAAGTTTCCGGATGCACTACAAAGCAACTATGGCTTAAAAATGCTTTTTGAAGGAGGCTGAAATGATTACCCAAAGGTCTTCTTGGAGGGTTTGAAGAGGGGGCTAAAAACTATTTGGGCTGTTTGGTCACGATTCTTAATTGGTCTTGTGCTCTGCCTGCTGTCGTACATGCAGCCCCCATGCCCTGCTTGAGTTGAGGGAGAAGAGAGACACGGGCTATGAAAATTTTAGCCAATTAATAAATAGAAGTAAGTGATGTTAGGGGCTGCTGTGGGGACTAAGCCACTGCCTTCTCCTACTCTTTGGGAGTGCAAGGTGAAGTAAGCCTCACCTGTCCAGCTGCTTGTAGTGGCTGCTTGTAGGAAGACATCTCTTTAATTCTCCTAGACAGAAACGTTCATTTCATGTTTCCCCCCTCATTTATTTGCTATATTTTTACCCTTGGTCTTGTGCTCTGCCTGTTGGGTCTTGTGCTCTGCCTGTTGTCATACATGCAGCCCCCATTGCCCTGCTTGAGCTGAGGGAGAAGAGAGACACGGGCTATGAACATTTTAGCCAATTAATAAATAGAAGTAAGTGATGTTAGGGGCTGCTGTGAAGAATAAGCCACCGCCTTCTAGTCTTTGGGAGTATGAGGTGAAGTAAGCCTCACCTGTCCAGCTGCTTGTAGTGGCTGCTTGTAGGAAGGCATCTCTTTAATTCTCCTAGACAGAAATGTTCATTTCATGTTTCCCCCCTCATTTATTTGATATATTTTTACCCAGGTCGTCTTCCACGGAGTTCATTGATGGTGTGTATAGTGCTCCCTTCCTCAGTTCTTTCTCGTCACAACAACCCAGTAAGGTACGTTAGGCTGAGAGCAGCATGTCCAACATCACCCAGGGAGATTCATGTGGGGATTTGAACTTGGGGTTTCCCTGGTCCTAGGACCTGTATGTGCGTGATGTGCTGTCAAGTCTCTTCTGACTCCCAGCAAAAGCCTATGAATTAAAGACCTCCAAAATGTCCTAACATTGACTGTGCTAGAACCATAGAATCATAGAGTTCAAAGGGACCTCCAGGGTCATCTAGTCCAACCCCCAGCTCAGTGCAGGAAATTCACAAATACCTCCCCCCCCACACACACACACACACCGCCAGTGACCCCTGTTCCACGCCCAGAAGATGGCAAAAACCCTCCAGGATCTCCAGCCAAACTGGCCTGGAGGAAAATGGCTTCCTGACCCCAAAGTGGCCATCGGCATTTCCCTGGGCGTGTAAGGAAGGGCCACGAGAACTAAGCACTGAGGCAACCCTTCCTGCCCTCCCTTCCTGCGATCTGCCCAAGGTCACAGAATCAGCATGGCTGTCAGGTGGCCATCTAGCCATGGATCAAGTCCTGAAAACGGAGGGTTCCCTGACTGAGTCCATCCATCTCCTGTTTGGGTCTTCCTCTTTTCCTTCTGCCTTCAACTTTTCTCAGCATTACTATCTTTTCCAGTGAGTCTTAGTCTTCTCATGTGTCTGACACTCTAACTCCCCAACGTGGTGCCCATAGCAGCCATGGCACCCGCCAACACCTTCTCTGGCTGCCGCCAAGTGTTTTGATTGGCTGTGGCGGTGCAGCTGTCTAAAAAGTTGCATCAGCAACCGCTGCCACTACAGCACGAGGATCTTCACTGTGTTACTGTGTGCGTTCGTTTTAAAAGACACCCTGTAAGGAGGAGAAGAGACTGGATTTATACGGTGCCCTAAACTTGAAGTCTCAGAGCGACTTACCATCTCCTTTCCCTTCCCCTCAACAGACACCCTGTGAGGAAGGTGGGGCTGAGAGAGTTCTGACTGAGAGCTGCTCTTGAGACAACAGCTCTGAGAGAGCCTGTGACTGACCCAAGGTCACACCAGCAGCTGCGTGAGGAGGCGTGGGGAATCAAACCTGGTTCTCCCAGGTTAGAGTCCCCGCTCCTAACCACTACACCAAACTGGCTTCTGCCTGAAGTGTTGAAGAGTTACTATTTGAGTTATGCACAACATGCGCCCCCTCGCCCAGATTGCCCGGAGGTATGGGCTAGGGTGTCACCAATATGCAGATGACACCCAGCTCTATTTGATGTTGGGCAGCCAGTCGGACACCAACCCAGAAGATCTGCACCAGGCTTTACAAGCCGTGGCTGGGTGGCTCAGGCGGAGCAGGCTGAAATTAAACCCGGCGAAGATGGAGGTCTTGTGCTTGAGTCGGACTGGACTGGGGTTGGGGCTCCCGCTTCCGACCTTCGATGGGGCACCTCTAGTGCCAGCTTCGGAGGTTAGGAGTTTGGGAGTGCTCCTGGACCCCTCCTTAACAATGGAGGCCCAGGTGGCAGCCACTGCCAGATCGAACTTTTATCATCTTCGGTTGGTACGGCAGTTGGTTCCTTTCCTCGACCGTACCGACTTAGCCACAGTGAATCCAAGCGACGGTCACCTCGAGGCTAGACTACTGTAACGCTCTCTACATGGGGCTGCCTCTGTCGGAAATCCGGAATCTACAGCTGGTGCAGAATGCTGCGGCCAGGCTGCTGGTGGGCGCCCCTAGGTGGGAGCACACCTGACCTGTACTGAAAGCGCTGCACTGAAGAAGAAGAAGAAGAGATTGGATTTATACCCCGCCCTTCACTTGGAGTCTCAGAGCGGCTTACAAACTCCTTTCCCTTCCCCTCCCCACAACAGACACCCTGTGAGGTGGGTGGGGCTGAGAGAACTCTGACACAAACTGCTCTTTTTCAAGGATAGCTGTGCCAGAGCTTGTGACTGACCCAAGGTCACATCAGCAGGTGCAAGTGGAGGAGTGGGGAATCAAACCCGGTTCTCCCAGATTAGAGTCCGCACACTTAACCACTACACCAAACTGGCTGCCTATAGCATACCGGATTCGCTTCAAAGTGCTGGTGCTTACCTTTAAAGCCCTACATGGCCAGGGTCCGACATACCTGAGAGACCGCCTTTCCCCATATATTCCCCAAAGAGCACTTTGGTCGGGGTCACAACACTGGCTGGTGACCCCAGGCCCTAAGGAGGCCAAGCTTGCGGCAACGAGGGCCAGGTCCTTTTCAGTGGCGGCTCCTACCTGGTGGAATGAGCTCCCGGAGGAGATCAGGGCCCTGCGGGACCTTGTGCAGTTCTGCAGGGCCTGTAAGACGGAGCTCTTCCGCCCGGCTTTTGAGTAGGAGCCGCCACGGCCACTACCACCACTGCTCCAGTACAGAGCGATACCGCCGGAGGGCCAGGTAACATCCATTTACGGCCCTAGTCCTCCCCTTCTGCTTGTAAGAGGTAGGGGAGTTTTATCTTTGTATATGATGTTATTGACTTTTATCTGTTTTATCTATTTTGTATATTATATGCACTCAGGGCCGTCTGTAAGCCGCCCTGAGCCCGTTCGCGGGGAGGGCGGGGTATAAATACAAATAAATAAATAAATAAATAATAAACCCCTCCCCCTGACATTTTGAGGCTAGCTCCGCCTCCTGCAGCAGCCATTTTGTAGGGTCTCCCACCACCCTGCGTCATAATTCCAAAGGTGCCCACAAGCTTGAAAAGGTTGGCAGCCCAAGCTCTTAACTATTACACCACAATGGCTCAAAATCCAGTGTGTTGCACTAGGAATGGGGAGACCCGGGTTCAGTGCAGCCATAAAAGCTCACCGGGCGACTTTGGGCCTACCACTCACTTGACGCAACCTACCTCGCAGAGCTGTTGTGAGGACAAAATGGGGGGGGAAAGGAGAACTCTGTGTGCATCAACCTGAGCTCCTTGAAAGAACCGTGGGATACAAACGTGGCTGAGGTGGTACTGAACCAGTCAGGCCGCCCCGGAAGTTCTCCGCCGCCCTCCCTCACCTGTAGCCAAACTTGTTCATAGCGACAGAGACGTGCTTGGGACTCCAGGGGTCACAGGTGTAAAGGTTGTGGTCATTCTCGGGGATGAGATCCACGTCGTGGAGGAAGAGACAGTCCCATTCCTCATCCTTCAGGGCTTCCTTCACGCCCACGTTCAGCAGCTTCGCGCGGTTGAAAGTGGTGTTCCCAGCCTGCGGAAGAGCAGCGTTGAATTGAGATGATGCGGGGATGTGGGGGGGGGGGTTCAGAAGGAGAAAAGTGTGACCCTTCAAACGGGGTTCACAAGGAGGCAGGACCAGCAGCACCCCCTGGCAACCACCTCAGGTGTCCTTAAAAAGTATAGAATCGTAAGAGTTGGAAGGGGCCATAGAGGCCATCTAGTCCAACCCCCTGCCTAATGCAGGATCAGCCTAGAGCACCCCTGACAAGTGTTTCTCCGGCCACTGCTTGAAGACTGCCAGTACTGAGGGGGAGCTCACCACCTCCCTGGGCAGCCCGTTCCACTATTCCACAACTCTTACTGTGAAAACGTTTTCCCTCAGATCTAGCCGGTACCTTCCCGCCCTTAATTTAAACCCATTATTGCGAGTCCTCTCCTCTGCTGCCTACAGGAACAGCTCCCTGCCCTCCTCTAAGTGTCCCCCCCAAACCTCCTCTTCTCCAAATTAAACATTCCCAAGTCCCTCAGCCTTTCCTCAGAGGACTTGGTAATTTTATCTCTCTAACTCACTCACTTCGTTTATATGCTGCTGTTCTCCTCACTAGGGACGCGCAGAGGAGCTTACGTCAATCTCTTCCCCTCACAATCACCTCATGAGGGATATTAAGCTAACAGTGTGCGACTGACCCAAGGTCACAAAGCAAACTTCCACGGCGGAGTGGGCATTCGAACCTGGGTCCCCCAGTTCCTAGTCTGACACTCCTAACCACTACACCATACTACCTATCCATTAAGTATTAAAACTGTAATTTTATTAATTAATATAAATATTAAGAACACTAGGAGCAAAGTCCATTGTAGGGACAATACAATGAGTGCTAGAAAGACAGGAGACTCCCCCCCCCCGTCCCACGCTTTCTCCCCCCTCCCCAGACCCTGAGGTCGAGGGAACGCCCTGCCACTGGCTCCCTGCCCAGGCGGGTCCGGTCGCAGGGCGGGTGGCTACCTGCAGTCAGCCAGGGCCGACAACAACCTCCATGGCGGTGGCAGGAATGGCCTCGGCCTCCTAAGCCTTCAGCTGCCAAAGCGTCCATCCCGTCCAGCGGCTCCCTGTATACTGAGGGTGAGAGGCTGGCCGCTGACTCTGTGGGCGGGACTGAGCCAACACAGCAAGGCAACTCAGCCAGTGGGCCAGGGACCCGTTTCTGAGTGGCAGTTCAGGCGGCCAACTGATTTTGGCGCGCATCGAATCTTGCCACCCCAAAACAGGATTATAATATAGGACAGATAAGAGCCCTGATGGATCAGACCGATAGTCCACCTAGTCCAGCATCCTGTCTCAAACAGTGGCTTCAAACAGTTCCTCTGGAAGGCCAACAGCAGGGCATAGAGGCCAAGGCCTTCCCCTGATGTCGCCTCCTGGCTCTGGGATTCAGAGGTTTAGTCCCTCTGAATAGGGTTGCCATCCCCCCCAATAGGGGCGGGTTCCCCCCGATTTCAGCCCCCCCGATCTACCTGCCAGCCAGCAGGAAGAGCCCCGCCCCCAAAGAGCTCCACAGCTTCAACGTGCCCAGCGTAATGACGTCACCCAGAAGTGACGTCATAGTGGTGGGGACATTCCAGTGTTCAACCAAATACTCTATGGTGACCATAGAGTTTTTGCCTGAACGCTAGAGTGCCCCCGTCTCTACAAGCCTTGTTCCTATTAGTTTATTCATGGAATATCCCCTGCCCCTCTGCATGTGTTGACTTTGACTACTTTATCAGCACGCAAAAATGGCAGGGGGGGGGGGAAGAACCACCCTCCCAGTCATTTCCCAGGCTCCCACGACTGGTACCGCAGCACTTACTGCTCCCCGCCAACAAATGACGCACCTGATGCACGACGTAGATGCCATACTGCAGCTGCTGGCGCTGGAGGAAAGGATGGAGATAGTACAGCAGGTGACGGAGGTGCATCTCCCGGTTGCGGTGCGGGATGACGACAGCGGTGCGGGAGCGCGGCTCACAGGCGGAAGGGCGGTACCGGCCCCCGTTGCTCACGGCCGGGTTCTTCTGCTGGATCTGCTCCAGGGTCGGCATGTGGCTAAAGCTCACCGTCAAGGGGCCAACTGAGAAAGGGAGGTCCAATGAGGGTGGAGGCGGGAAAGATCCGGAAGACGGACATCACTACAGGCCCTGCACATCCCGACTCAAAGATAATGGACAATCTATCATGTTTCATGCATTCTGCATCCCTCCAATGAGATCAGCTCGCCTGGGGGAAACGGCTGCTTTGGAAGGTGGACCCTTCAGGGTCCACGCGCAAATACTCCAGGTATGTCCCAACCAGTGTTCCCTCTAAGCTGAGTTAGCGTGAGCTAGCTCACAGTTTTTAAGCCTCTGGCTCACACATTTTTGTCTTAGCTCAGGAAGGATGGCTCCAGAGCAACTAATCTATGCAGCAGTCAAATCGCTCGCTCACAACTTTAATGCCAGTAGCTCACAAAGTAGAATTTTTGCTCAGAAGAATCCACAGCTTAGAGGGAGCATTGATCCCAACCCAGAGCTGGCAACCCTATCAAAGAGCTCACTGTAGGACTCAAGGTTACCTTCTCCCCCTCACAACAACCCTGTGAGGTAGGTTAGGCTGGGAGAGAAGAACTGGCCCACAGATCCAATAAGCTTTGTGAATTCAAGACAGGTTTTGCAGGTTTTAGTCCAACATTTAGCCACTGTCCTGGGTGTCCTCAACCTTTTTTGAGCCTACGAGCACTGTGGCAGAACAGTCCTGCTTTGGCCTGCAGGCCCTGTTCCTTCCTGCCTTCCAAAGTTTTCCCAACACCTGGAGAGGCTTTTCTTTCCCTCCAGTAACCCACCGCCACCACCTGACCTTTGTAAGGAATTGTCCACTGGGAGGGTCGGGACTTCTGAGGAAGAGCAGCGTTGTGAAGAAAACACTTGTGAAGAAAAAGCACAAGTACACTGCTTACTGTCTTGTGTGCCCCTAGAGGAATAGCCACTTGCCCACTGACTGCCATCCCCCTGACATGTCTTTTAAAACAGGACGCTTAAGATAGTGGAAGTCTATGTGGTACGCAGAACCGCAAGTAGGATCAAAAGTTATAAAGTATTTATTAAAAAGTGTTTACAAGCAGGGGTCTTTTGGGGCCGGAGCATGCTGGAGCGCCGCTCCGGGAGCCCAGGAGCTGGCAAAATGGTGGTGGCAGCAAGCCCCGCCCCAGCTCCCCGCGCTACGGCCTGTCACTGGCCTCCTGGGGTGAAGCTGGAAAGCTCATGAACTGACTTCCCCCCTCCCTGCCTGTTCTCTGCTCAGAGACAAAAGCTTTTAAAACCTCCTGGTAAAGGTTTTACTCAGGTCAGACCTCTAGCCCAAAAATGCACTTCTTCACAAGCACCACTGTAATTCTGACACAGGTGACAGGCACACCCATAAAATGGCTGCCGCAGCTTACCCTCAGTCACACAGTGAAGATCCTTGTGATGTGGTGGCAGCTGCTACCAAAGCAGCTTTTTTCCAAAATTTGCACAGCCAACCAGAAACCTGCTGAGTAAAAAGCCACAATTGGCCCCGCCCACTTCCCAAAAACACTTGGTGGGCACCATCCTGCCCACAGAAACCACATTGGGGGGGCCCTGCACTACACCATACCAGCAGATCACTGGACTAACGGTAAGCAGTTAGCAAAATCCAAAACCTCTAAGCTTCCAGTCCTCATGGGTCCAACGCAAGAAAACCAGAAACACAAGCAAACGTCCTTAGCTCAAAGCTTATAAACCACAGGACAGGCCTGTCCTTCCAGAGGGACTTTGGAGGAAGTCTGAATACACTCAGATCTTTCAAGCAGGATTTCCAGGAAATGAGAAAACAATGCCCAGAGGTTGCCTTGGGACAGGGAAAAGGCCATTCAGAACTGGCATAATTTCACAAGCACTGAGAAAAGACTCTTGCTAGTACTACATCTAAGACCAAACTAGAGTAACCAGGAGGAGGGGGGCTGAAACTTCTGCTTTGATGTTTTCAGGTGCCGCAGACCTTTTTTTTTTTTTTAAGCCCCCGGAGGGGATTTTTTTATTTTTTTTATATCACTACAAAAACTACAACAGAAAAGGGGGAGGGAAAACTACATTTACGGGATAAAGCAAAGAACCCACTACTAACTAAAATCCCAAGAGGGGAGATCCTCCAACTAGCTTAGTTACATTCAATCTTCCATCATTTATAACATTATAAACTGAGTCAAGCATTTAAAGTTAATACTTTTCTTTTAAGCTTAAATTTAAACTGTCTACAAACAGTACCCCCGATCATCCCGTTTCAAAGTTCACAAAGGCACAATTCAGAGTCCTTCAGCCTTTACTTCTCCTTTCCCCGTCTCTTCCGCAACTTATAAGGACTTTTGGGGGCTGCTGCCCCTTGTTCTGACAGAGAGTCCTCTCCAGAAGAACCTGAGTCTAGCTCGCCACTAGACTTGCTGTCCTCTTCTTTTTTCCCGTCCTCTGGTCTTCCCAACTGAGCCCTTAGGAATTCTTGAGCTTTCGAAACAGAGTCTATCTTTTCTTTTTTGTCCTTAATCTTGAAAGTGACGCCTTCTGGAAATAGCCATTTATATCCAATCTCCCCCACTTTCAGGGGTACTTCAGAGACCGCTTTCAGGATTGCGTCCCTCACATGCCTCTTCAAGAATCTTACGACGATTTCCCCAGGCAGATTATTTTTCTTTATATAACCTGAATATGATCTATAGACCACATCCATGTCATTCAGTAATGCATCCGCCTTCATTTCTGTCACTGGGGTTGAAACTTCTGCTTTGATGTTTTCAGGTGCCGCAGACCTTGAACCGGTTCACTGTTCCTGGCACTAGCAGGGTTGCTAGAGGAAAGGTGGTTTAAGCCCAAATGCGGCAAGGTGAACCTCCCAGCCCACGAAGCTGCCTCATACAGACTCATCCAGCTCAGTATTGCTGGCTCTGATTGGCAGCCGCTCTCTTCAGGGATGCCAGCAACGGTCTGGGTGGGACCTTCTGCATGTCAAGCAGATGCTCTACTACTGAGATGCAGCCCCTCCCCATACACAGCATGCCTTACGTTATACAAGACAGGAGCCCCAGACACAAAATGCCAGGAAAAACAAGGGCTCTGATCTGACTACTATACCATGGGATATACAATCTATGACCAGGTTGTGAGAAATGAACCACTCTTCCGGCCTCATTCACCATACTAATTTATTTAGTTTTTATTTAACACCGGAGTGAGCTCCCGTCTCTAGTTCCAGCTCCTGCCAACCTAGCAGTTCAAAAGCAAGAAATTATTGCAAGTAGATAAATAGGTACCGCTTCGGTGGGAAGGTAACAGCGTTCCGTGCGCCTTGGTGTTTAGTCATGCCGGCCACATGACCACGGAAACATCTTCGGACAGCGCTGGCTCTTCGGCTTTGAATGGAGATGAGCACCGCAACCCTAGAGTCGGACTCGACTGGCTTTCGAGCAAGGGAACCTTTACCTTTAAGCCACCTTTCCCCCTTGTGGAACCCAAGGCAGCTTCCAGTATAAACAAAACATCATAAAAAACACAATAAAAACAGCAAGTATAAAACCTATACAAGTCACAGAAACTCCAATTAGGACGGCCAATAATAAAAGCTACACAGATTCAAAATGCAGTCTTAAATAAAACTGTCTCCCGCTGCCTCCTTAAGATCGACTATGAGGGGGCCGGGCGTACCTTCCTTGTAACTGAGGGGCTGCCACTGAAAAGGCCCCCTCTTGTGTACCCAACAAATGGGCGTATTTAATTGGTGGGACAGGCAGGAGGGCCTCTCCCAGTGATCTTGACTCACAGGCAGGAAAGTTTGGGAGAAGACAGCCCTTCAGATACACCGATCCCAAGCCAAATAGGGTGTTAAACAACCAAACCAACACCTTGAAACAAGATGGTGTGTTCCTGGTTGACTCCCACGTGCGTCATAGGTGGGGTTAATCTCCAGGTGAGAGAGATCAATTCCCCTGGATAAAATGGACACCCTGGAAGGTGGACTCTATGGGCATTATACCCCGCTGAGGAGACTGTAAGCCCCTCTGAGACTCCTTCTGGTAGTGAAGGGGTATAAGCCCAATCTCTTCTCTTCTTATTTTGCAATCCACTCTTATTCGCTGTTGGCTGTGCGCTGTATACTGTTCTTATTGCACTGTTTCAATGGTGCGATTCACCTTGAATCTCAGGTGAGAACGGCAGACCATAAATGACGCAAAGAAGTAAATATTAGCTCATCGAGTTAAGCTATATAGTACCAACAGCACTTCAGCAGGGTGCCACCGTGCACATGATTAACTGTGGACAAAACTACTCATGTTTAAAGAGCAAACAGATAGTTGAAGATGCGTTGTTAAGTCCAAGAGTGTACACAGGAATTATCATCGGATGCCGCAGATGGCCCTCCATAGAAACCTTTACGCTACACATTTGAGTGAACTGCTACACTCGAGTCCATTATAAACTTCTTAGAATCAAAGCCCCCTTCATCAGATACAAGCAGGAATGGAGATCCCCTGAGCACTTATATCTCATTCAGAAGGTGTGGGGGGCGGAATATAAGGGCTCAGATCTCCATTCCCACTTGTATCTGACAAAGGGAACTTTACCACTTTGGTGTAGTGGTTAGGAGCACGGACTCTAATCTGGGAGAAAGAGGTTTGATTCCCCAGTTCTCCACATGCAGCTGCTAGAGTGACCATGGGTCAGTCACAAGCTATTTCAGAGCTGTTCTCTCAAGGGCAGTTTCTGTCAGAGCTCTCTCAGCCCCACCTACCTCACAGGGTGTCTGTTGTGGGGAGGGGAAGGGAAAGGAGTTTGTAAGCCGCTCTGAGACTCCTTCGGGTAGTGAAGGGCGGGGTACAGATTCAATCTCCTCCTCCTCCTCCTCTCTCAAAAGCTTATACCCTGAAAAACCTGTTGGTCTCTTATGTGCTTCTGGATTCAAATCTACCTATTCTACTACCGACCAACATGGCTACCCTCTGAAACAAAATTTCTGAGTGAATGCACCCTGGATTTAAAAAGCATTTCAATCAGGCCAAAAAGAGAAAATGTTTCATAGCTGCATTTC